GGTCACTGACGCACAGTAAAGGATCCTTTATGTCCGTATGAAATTCCCAGGATTAACACAATACTATTTTCCTTAGACAGTTCTCTTTCGTTGAATTTTATTCCCCATTTGAAGATTTTAAAAATAAGTATAGTTTTGGAAAACCCGAGTCACTATTTCAAAGATGCATATCAAGAAAAGTTGATTTCTTTAGCTGAATATCACGTGAAGTAATTTGTTAAGATATCTTCCTAATCTGATGCATTTAAAGTATAGGACAAAGCTTCAATGAACACATTCTTAAATATTTCTTCTGTGCTTCACATGGAATTGCTTTGGTGCTTACAGCAAAATAACAACAAGATTACATTTGTATAACGCCTTTCATGTCGGGAGGACGTCCCAAGGTGCTGGAAAATGAAAATGATGGCACCAGAGAGTTGACCTTCTTTGGTTCGTCTTTCGAATTATACAAGCACAGAAAAGTGTTTGAATGTTACAAATGAAGAACAATTTAAACTGAAAAAAATTCAGACCAATGTTGCTTTCCTGATGGGATGCATTGTTATTAAACTGGTCAATTGGCTATACGTGAGAGAGGCCTCAAAATGGTCACGTTGGGTGAATAGTCTTACTGCCTGGTATAATGGACTAAATCTGCAGTAAGATTCATTGCCTTTATAAAAGGAAGATGTACCTTGCTCCAACACACCCAAGATCCATTGCAGATTACTGGCTGTATATTGGTTATATAGAATACGTGACAAAGTGAATGTCTAAGCGAAACAGGGTTACTGGGCTGAGTAGCCTTGTTTTCTTCCATATTTTTGTATTTTCTTAAAATAAAGGTTTACTTAGCAATTGCTTTTATATTTGCCTGGCTAACCCTCCTGCAGCCACACCTCCTGCTATTTCTCCTTTCTTGCTCCAGACTATCTGTCTGTCTTGGGGAAGGTTGCCCTCTAGGGGAAGGGCTAATGCGGATATTCATGCATTGGATTTTAATAAGCATCTCCAATGTTAAAAGTTTGATGTTCAAACATTCCAGGTAAAAGAGCAGTTAACTTTGCATTTTAAAATAAAATTGCAGTAGTAAAGAATCTCTTTCCTTCTCTCCCATCTATGCCACTGTTCATAACTTTTGAGTGTGGCAGAGCTTCCTATCGCTTTACAGGAAAGGATGCAATCAGTTTACACTCTGTCTTGTGCATTTCAGGTATTCTTTGCCTATTTCTTAATTGATTGTGATAGACATAATGGAAGGGGGTGGGGGTGAAGTGAGCAAAGTGTCAGATGGAGATAAATTGCTACAGAATGCAGGAAAAAAATGAATCAGACAGGAATAAAGAAGAAGTTTGATTCTTGAGTTCTGTGTTGAAACCCATGGAATCCCGCTCTCTGTATCTTTCTCAAAAGTTTCCAGTTCTTGGGAAGTGGTTGCCAACTAAACTGATGAAATACTGTACAGGGATGTATCTCACTTGTATTGTATACAGTTATTTTAATTTTAAATAGAGCAATGGTAAGACCACATCTACAATATTGAGGCATTCTATCGTCAAAAGAATGTAGTTCAGAAAGGAGCAATAAGATTATGAGGAATAGACCTCGTCATTTATGAGCAATAACAACAAATTATATTTGTATAACGCCTTTCACGTCAGGAGGATATCCCAAAGCACTGGACAAGTTAGGGATGCACACCCGAGCTGGTGGTTGGGATCAGGAGGGGTGGAGGGCGAGGAGGGGAGGGGTAGGAGGGTGACCGAACGCACAGTTGAAGAGGAGGATCTTGAAGGAGGCAATGAGCAGAAATGATTAGATGACCTCACTTGTTTTCGTCTGAGTAAACCAGACCTTGAACCATGATCTAGATCCTCAATATCTGAACTGCTACCAGTAGTAGAGTGATTTGAACTTGGAAGTGGGATTCCCAATCTCTCTTGTCAAGGATTCAGACAAACTGGTTTTAATGTTATAAAAGAGTCAGTCCATTGGATGCCGAAGAACTTTCAAGCAATCATTTTTGAGTAGAAGCTGAATCGATTTGCATTGCTTGCAATAGTGCGAGATGTCATGGTAATGCCCAAACCACCTTCTCAAAGTGGTCTCGGCAGCCAGCCTTCCAACACAAATCACTTCACAATTTTTTATGGATTTTTTTTGTGTGTGGTGCAACATGGTACTTTTGCTGCTTAAAACCCAGTATGATCCGGGCAAAAAAAAACTGCACAAAGCCTAGATGTAGCTGAAAGCAGAACTACACAGGTTTAAAACTAAATAAGACTCAAATGAGATGCGAGGATTAGAAGATGTTATTTTCCTCCACAGAACAAGGAATTTGGAATAAATATCCAGCTGGTTGGAACAGGATTGAAAATTGTGGGAATAAACAGGTGTTATGTACAAGGTGACATGACGTGTATGGAGATATCATTGTGTATTTGACATTCACGTGGAACTCTACTGGAGCCCACAATGAACACTGGGCCTTCAGCTACATAATGGTGATGAGTGATGGTAAATAGACTGCGATCAAGGATGCCTGACATTCCATTGCAGCTCTTAACCTCTGCCACTGTTATTTAGCTATGAATACTTGGTAAGCACTGTGACCGTGTTGAGAAATGCTTTGGTCAAGCGTAAGCTACTTGTGCATCTATAGTAATGAGATGGAGCCACGGGTTGGAGCATTTGCAAAGTAAAGAGAGCCGCTACACTGAACTCAGCGCCTGCTCTGGGGGCTGCACTCTGTCTAACCATCGCCCTCATGGCCCGAACCCAGCATGAGCAATGATTTTGCTGGGTCGTGCTCCTCAAGAGTTAAATCTCTCTGCACTACCAACTATCCTTGCCGTGCTGCATTTCCTTGTTTCACTGAGAAGCTATAAGCATGGCGTGACTTGTTCTCATCTTCACAAGTCTATGGGAGATGGCACCCCGCCGTTAATAGCTTCAAATTCTTACCCTCTCAGAATATGTTGGTGTAACTTTATAGAGGATATAGGGATCTTTGCATGGCTAGAGCCATGGTGCCGCTGTGCAATTTCAAGGGCTTGTAAAGTAGATTAGTGGGACTTCTAAGTGAGAATTGCGTTGTGAATTTTGTTAGCAGGAATCTACTAGCAGCTGTGTGCATTTCCTGTAAATTCACACCCATTTGCAGGCCAGTTGCTAATGCCCACAGAAGTGGAAAATGTAAAGGGAGTTTACTTCACAGCAGGCAGACGGTGGGAAGAACTCGATCCGTGAAATGTGGTCTAGAACAGAGCAGAGCACTTCAGAAGTTTCATTACCAAAGAGGCATACGACTTGGTTTTACACAGCATCATGAGGTTCAGCATCAAAGTAGTTTTACCCTGGAAAACAGTGAACAAACCTATGCTTCACAGGAGGAACTTATCTCTAACTGTGTGGATTATTCGGTAAACTTCCACTGGCTTCAAACCTAAACGGAACGTAATGATGTTTTGGCTGAAATGCAAGAACTTCATCTCAGTTTATATGAATGACTAAATTAACACCATCTATAAAGTCCGAACCAATGTATAATATAAAATAAATACGTAAGACAGGCAAACTTGGTGAATAATTTAATAATAATTATGACAATATAAACTCTCTTGTAAGTATGTATGCGATGCCTGCTAACCTTATAGGATATGCCTTGTTGGCACTATAGATAACACAGACATTTGTACTTTACTAACGGTAGGTAGTTGACTACATAGAGATAGAATGTTTCTTGTGCTACCTGGTTACTTTCCTTCATATATAAAAATACTATTCGTTCAGTGTTGGAATATACTGATAAGTTGTTGTGGAGTTTATTTGCAAATTGAGTGAATGAATATTTTGCAAGTGATGTGACCTTGCCAAGGCAAGCTTTGGTCAAGGACATGCTACTTATACTCCTATTGTTGTGGTTTATCCTTGTTTACTGTATGTTGCTTTGAATATGATGCCGCGTGGATGGTATAAAACCTTCTCTCAGCTGTCCCAGTGATCCCTCTGTGGATCATAATTGTCATGGGGGCACAAGATGAGAGCCTTAGGTTGGTCCGCTTCCATGTGAGGCATTAGTTTCGGTGGCAGCTTTACAACAGAGAAGGATTTAATCTCCTTCTAAACCGTACACCAGCCTACACAGGGGGGTGACTCTTGAGTGTTTTTGCACTGATATGCTGCAATATCTCTGCGCTATGGAAAAAGTAATGACAGCACAGAGCTTTGGGACCTTGAAAGCTGAACATCCATGAAACAAGTTTAAAGGGATTGCTATTGCTAAAAGAAAAAAATAAATTAACTAACGGTAAAGAATAGGCAGTTGCCTTTGAATCATCTCCTCAGTTATGAGCATCTTCACACCTCAGAAGGTAGCTATGAACTAAGGGAGTGTGACTGATGGGCAGCAGATTTGCAGGCACTGCCACAACAGTCTAGTCTAGCTCAGAGACATTTAAAATTTGGTCACTCAGACCTGGCACTTCGGGAAACCCAAGCGCATTCTTAAAACAAGCTCTTTGTTAATGAACTTGGCTGATTATTCATTGTTGAGGGCAGGGGTTAGACTATCAGTCGTTTATCAGTACATATTGAGTTGTTATAGATGTAGCATAGGCTTATTTTTTCCTGTGATGAGATTTTGCAAAACACAACAAAAAAGAACTTTGAAAACTATTAAGACGTTTTTAATAAAGCAGATTGCTAAAGCGGATTGAGCATTAAGACATCGATAATGCAGTTAGCCTTGTTGATGTATGGCTAATTATAAGGGTAAGTAGACGGGTAGTTATCAATTACACTACCAAGCCTGCAGTTTATTTTTGATAATTATTTTCATGCTGCTTTTTGTGGGTATGGCAATGCATGTGATTTATTAATCAATGATGTTGTGTGAGCATAACCTAGTGTTTCGAAGAGATTCTAATTTCCTCGTCAAGGCCGTTACGGAGTTAGTAAGGGTGAATTGCAATTAGTTTTAGATGGCTAAGGATTGTGTGTCTCTTTATTTTCTTCAGGACCCGGGATTTTCAGCTTTCATTTTTGACAAGCTTCAAGTGCCTGACTCTTCAAAGAGAGGTCGAAATGAAAGTGAGAGCAGATGTGAGGTTTGTGCCACACACCTCAATCAGCTGAAAAAGGAAGCGATTCAGATGGTCCATACACTCAGCCAAGCCTCCACTCAGGAACAGTCTGATCCACTGTCTGATCTTGCAGTGGGCAGTGTTTCACCAAAACGTGATTCCCAAAATATGGTCACCCTTTCGTCACAAAGGGATTGGCCTCTGATCGCAGGACAAGCAAGCAGACAGCCTGGAAAATCAGGAAATATAATCTCTGGTACGGAGCGAAGGAAGGGAGTTGGTTGGCCTCAGGGTACAGGCAACCTTTCAAAATCCAGCATTCAAGTAACTGTTGGTCCCAGTGGCCTAAGCAGTGCTCTGAGCTCAGTCACCATTCAGGCACAGCAGTACCTTGAGGGCATGTGGAATATTTCTAGAGTCAACAACTTTCTTCCGAATGCTTATCTGGTGAGTACTCATTACATTGCAAAAAGTAAACAATAACCGAAGACTCACAACTCTCAATATCGTTTTGAGCATGTTACATTTCCATCACATTTTTGTCAGTCTTTTCAGTTTGCTCATATATTATATGATCTGAAAACAGGTAACTGTTGCACATGTTTTTCACTCTGTTTCGGAAAGCTACAGCGTGTAGTTAATTCTTTGTTGCTGCAATCATTGGGATTGCATTTTGAAGTGTAAATGTAATCATAATTTTAGCGTAGCTTATGATTATCATAATCTTAGTCAATTTATTTTCTCACCGATTTTCTATTCCTTGTCCCTTGTTGCCCTAAATGTGGTAACTCATGCTGGGATATAATTTTGTGGTCTTGAGCAACATCCTGGCAGCTCCCACAAGTGCCTTGGACATTCAGTGTGTTTAGTATCTGACGGTGGGTGCTTTCACAGCTGAGCCAAATCCTATCTTCTTTTTCTCCTGTTGTGCTCCCACACAAACACTTCAGCGGGGGCAGTTCAGAAATCAGAAGGGAAACTCTGGCCAGGCTATCGCCAACCTAGCGCAAGGTGCTACAGCACTCTGAAAATCTCCCTGACTGAGAATAGCCCAGCTAATTTAGTACCAGGAATTGGACCTGGGACCTTCCTAATGTGTATGGTTGAGTAAGGCACCTCGGGGTGCATTGACCTACAGAGGCATGGGTCGAAGTTTAAACAGTATCTGTGTACTCATTTTTTAGTCGGTCGCACACATAATACAATGCATTAGAGGTACATAAAACCACCCAGCCTTGCACATGTATAACAAAGCAGCTACAGTATGTGTAAACTACACTGCGCCAGTGTTCAATGAATCAAACGGGAAGAAAACACACTAATTAGAAAGAAGAAGAGATCAAAAGATAATCGAGAGAGTGCATACCCTGGTTCGTGGGGAAGGAGAGAGGATAAATGTGTAGCGTAACATTGCTGATTGAGGTTATTTGTTGATCAGTTACCTCCTGTGTGGCTTGGTCAATTCTTGCATTAGGAAAATGAAGTCACTCAGCTGGGGTATATAATCGGACTTATCTGTGGGGTGGAGGAGAGAGAAAGGCAGGGCTTTAAAATGGGTCCTATTGAAAGCTGAGCACATATCATTCTCCAGCAGTATCGTCTCCCAGTGGACATGAAACACTGAATAGGGGGGACTTCTGCTATTAAGAGTGGCACACATGTTGTGGCAGTAAACATCATGAATTGGGCAGATTAGCGTGCACTGGCACTGTAGCATTGCTTACTTTAAACAAAGGAATTGTTTTATGCCTTCGATGGATTATTTATCTTATTATGTTTAAAATATACTGTATATAGAATGGAATGAGAAGGATAACACTTACCGCCTGACATCTTAATGCTGCACTGCTCTGTGCTGAAGCATAAAATTCTCTGATTTAAATTGTACATCATGAAGAGTACACAGAGGATGATCTCTCCCAATGTGTCATATCTGTGCAGGTGGATTAATGGAATTGCTCGAGTTACACTGGATACTTCACACCACCTTTATGTCCACGTAGGCAAAAATTTGTTTTACTATATTATTTTTCTATACAATATTAAAGTGAGGGTGACACCACACAGCAGAGAATTCAGTGGTGGCACATGTTTTACGGTATGCAGAGGAGTTAGGGTAAATGTGATGCTTAAGTGTTTTGCCATCTTATATGGATTTGTATTTGAATTGGGAGTCAGTGTGTAACCATGATTTACACTCATTTACGCTGATACCAATTTGAAGTGCATCAATCAGACCAAATGTACTGTATTTCAGAGTCTTGTCCAGCTTTGAAATACAGTCTTAACCATTGGTACAAATTTATCATGGATAATATTTGCACAAGATTTGAAGGAACGTGTCAGTCTAAAAAACAGTTTTAGTGCATGAAGTGATATTAAAACAAATAAAAGTGAAACACGAATAAGCCAGGTAGCATCTGTCAGGGTCCAATTCAATTCGCACTGTTATTAGTAGACTGCGCTGAATTATTATTGCAATAAAGAAAGTTTGAATTACTGCAGTCCCCTACTGTCACACGGGAAGTAGCATATGTTAGTTTTTAATTGCTTTTTCCTGCATGTAAATTTTGATGAGGGTTTTGTTGCATTTCAAAGATCAGTTGCATCCATCTACTTAGATTTGTAATTATTAAAGTTCTTGTAGATAAGATTAATAAGAGCTAAAGTATACGTTTCTTGGCTACACTTTTCTGGATTGTTTAGACTATAAGCTAACTTATAAATCAGGAGATCAGCTAACTCAGCACAGACCATAGATCAAAACCAGAGCCTTTCCGGTCTCCACAACTCTGTTTCTCTGTAGGCAGTGAAACCAACTTAGTCATGAAGTCATTTAGTTTTATAGTTGTTCGAATCAAGAAAATTTAAAGGTATTGTCATTAGAACAACACTGTAAATGACTCACTATAAACCAGGTCGCCTTTAACTTGGTTGGATTGTGAACTCTGGCTTTCCCTTACCTAAAATTTCCAAATCTTAACATTGCTCCATCCAAACCATTTGTATCATCGTCTGAAATCCCTTTGCCCTGCTCCAAACCAGGATGTTGCAACAACAAGATCTGAGGCGCGATGACAGGTTTTGAAGCACAACAACCCAATTTCGATGGGGTTTCACTCAACTCTTATTCCTGCTCATTGTTGATGTAAAACCTAGAACTGGAGTAATATTAGGTGATTATGCAGTTCATGTAGACTTAGTCCACTGTGGACCATAAATGGTAGGGCTCGCTGTGCCTTATGAAGTGATCATTATTTGTTCATTTTTACTTAATTTTGATGGAGCTTTAAATAATATTAATAATAATAATCCTTGCATTTGATATAGCGCTTTTTACGTCGGGAGGACGTCCCAAAGCGCTTCACAGAACACACTGTAAAGTGAATTGACTGTATATTTGTGGGCGAACGCGGCAGCCAATTGCGCACAGCAATGTCCCACAAACAGTCGTAGATTGAAAATGACCAATTTAATTATTGTTTTTTTTTTGGAGGGATTATTATTAGGCGTGCTTATCAGGACTCTGTTTTAAGCTTGTTCTTACCTTCTTCTGAAATATGAATGGGGAAGAGTGATGGTGGTAGTATGGTACCTGGTCACATGATAGGCATCTCTAATGTCGAAAATATTATTGTGAACAATAGGTATCAAACTGGTGTTATGACAGCTGCTTCCGAGGCAATGTCAGTTTGGGCTTTAAACACATGGTATAACCAATGCACAGACATTTAAAATGTAACAGGGTGTTTCAACACAACAAATAAGGTTTACTTTACGTTGAGATTCAGCGAGGCAAGTTAACTTGGCCACAAGAACATTACGCAGCAGCTTTGTATTTGCCTTAATCTCTTTTCTTCCTGGAAATTTTCATAAAATTCAATTCAGAGGGAACTGAATCAAGTTTGTATAATAAGGTTTCTGTTTTAAGGTATTTACCGGTTGATGGAATCATTACTTTAAATGATTTCTGGTCCTTGAACTCATCTAGATTGCTTCAGTATTACATTTGTGTGACGTAATTTTTTTATTTTTCTTGTTTTCTATTGATTTAAATCCAGCACTGCATCCAGTAATTGATATTTAATTTGTATTTAGTGGTCTGAGTCAATGCGAGAGTATTGGTTGCATAAAGAACAATTTGATTTCGACATGAGGTAATGCAAGTTGAGGTAATAATGGTTACAGTATATTACATTAGGCAATCGGAACTCGTAAAAATATAGCCAACTGCGTGCCAAAGAATCATCAGTGTATGATAACATATGTTTTGCTCTTCAGACAGCAAATTCTACTGAGAACAATAGTTCATCACAACCCAATGCTACATACAGTAGAGCTTCCAGCAGTGTAAATCCGAACCAGCCACATCAGAATGTTCCATGCAGTTTCAATCATGTTTATTTTCCTGCCCAATTACAATCCCAAAATGTCCCATTGCTGTGATTTCATCGGTGTAATGTTACATTCAGAACTCTGTAGCTAGGAGATATTAGAGTAGAAAACTGTATTATACAGCTAAATGAACTGTTAAGTGCACAAGAATGATCCACAATAACAGACTTTTAACTGGTGAGGAGGAAGACTGAATTTAGGGACTTGACAATTTTACCACTTCTTTGCATGTTTTGTGTTCAGTGAACCCAACACACTGGCTTGACAATTCCCTGATATGCACCTTAAAATGTGTTACTCAAATTACATGTGGTCTTTAATAAAACCATGTTAATATGCTGATATGCTGGCATTCGCCCACAAAATACAGTCACTCAACTTCACAGAATATCCTGTGAAAGCACTTTGAGATGTCCTATCGATGTGAATGGTGCTGGATCAAATAAAAAACATGTAGGGTTTATAATTGAAGGGGAAATTTGCTGAAAAAGAATATCCTTGTTCTCATAGCAGCTTAGTTTAGTTTTAAACTAAAAATAGTTGGACAGAAGACTTCTGATGAGCCCATTAGCAATTCTAATACAACATTTATTCTGTACACTGATGTCTTTTTATTGTTATTGCAATTCATCACAAAGCTAAAATCCATCCTGCAATAATCTAATATTGTAAAGCTGTGGCCTTATAATTCTAATTTCATGACTATATAAAAGGCAATTTTGATGTAACCTCTAATCATTGGTTGTAGTCTCGGTTATGATGGGTTGAGTGTCTGGAGTGTTATAATGATACCCTCAGCATTTCTCTATTACCTCTCTGGCACTCCTGGACATGATAAGTGATCCTTCTTGAACCTTTCTCTCTCTTGCGCAATCTTTCCTGCCTGGCTCCTTGTTAGTAATACCGCTGTGCTATGATTATTGCTTCTCTGAACTTTTGTTCTTCCCAAGCTTTGCATTCTTAAGTGTCTTGAGATGAAAACTCATTACACTGTCTCCTACTTTTTAACTCATTCATTCCCAGAACCTCAAGACTTTGGAACTCTTTACTCCCCCCTCCCTCCCTGTTCAGCATCACCTAATCTTTGCTTGTTGATTCATCTTAATGTATACAAATTCAAAACAGATTCATAGAAGTGTTCACAGGCCCATTTTGTCTGTGCCAAGTTTTCTTTGCTTAAACATTGCTCCAATTTTTCTTGCGTTTGCTACCATTATTTTGCTATTATTATCTAGAGCTTTGAATCAGTTCAAAGCTACGCCAAGTTTCTGCGAATGGGTACGACATCATTGGGCTGTAAATGCCAATGGGAGCCATGGAATTAGCCAGCACGAGCATTTTGCAGTACCAACAAGGCTGGGTCAGGGCTTATTGCAGGTACTTGTGCTGGTGAGGAAGGGTAGGAGGATTATTCTTGAACAGCATTCGATTCTTTTGTTTGTTTGGTGCTTCTTGCTTCCGCTATGAGATGCTGAGAGATGGCACTCTCAAACAGTTGAGAATTCTCACAGCATACATTGTCGAGTTATAAAATAAACCATCTACCGAAACGAGAACTGGCTTCTATTTTATTCTAAATTAAAACTTAGCAGTTTAAATTGATTCCTCAATAATAATTATACAATTTGGTTCTGCACTTTGGCTACATTCTTACTGACTAAAGTTAGAGAGTTAATTCGAAAGCAGGCGTGGCACTTTGTCCCTCAGTCAGCTCAGGGTAATTTGGAAACCATTTGCCTGCTCATACATTATTAAACTTACAGTATCATTGCATACAAATGACGGATTAGCAAAAAGGCAGATTTATCTTTTGTCATGGGTTTAATGCTGAGGAGACGGCTATAAAATGCAGGACTGAGCTCACTCAAGACTTTAAAGTTATATATACCTATTGTGACTAAACACCTGAACAAATCCCAAAAGTAGGTTGTCACAAGCTTGTTAAATTCCTCACTTCTGTAGTGTGTGCTCTCCATCAATGCAGTCAGGTGGGGAAGAATTATGGCTTATCATGTCCATGCCACTTAGCACACAGTAAAACACTTCCCCTTGCTTCCTTTGGCCTTTGGGTTAAATGTGGCAATAAAAAATTCATTGGTTCCTTAAGAAAACAGCAGTGAGTTGTCCATAACATTATTACTTCTGGTGACTATAACAAGTGTGATTTTCTTTAAACTCGAGAACCTATTGAGAGTGGATGATACAACTTTGTTAATTGCATAGAATAAAAGACCGACTAAAATTAAATTTTTAAAATGTCAAGGTTCTTTGAGAGGGTGAGATTAAGAATGTGAAAAGGATTTTGCTTAAACTGATCTTTTCTTGGTATTGATGTTTCTTTTTGTGAAACAAAATATTCGCCGGAAACGAAGAAAATCAAAGATTCAGACAAAATAAAATGACAGACTTTGTATCTTAATTACATGCTGTCATCTTATTTAAAAAGGCATGTTATTTGCCTTTTTTCCCTTCCCTTTCTTCACAGTTATGGAAAAGACGGTGTTCTTGTTCTAAGCAGTTCTTTTCAGGAGAAGTCTTATCTAGAAAACCTAAGGCATTACACTGAACAGTAAATGGAAATCCGGTGCTCTAACTTTATATATAGGCAAGTTCAATGACATTAGTCAAAGATGGTCTTAACAACACACAGATTTGTAGATTTACCTGTGTTGCATGATGCTTTATGTCTATCTGTGCTGCACATATAAGAAGCAACCATACAATAGGGGCGATTTTATGAAGGTCCATAAATTTACTGACTTCCGAAGAATCACCTCTATTATGTCCCAGTTTAGTGGCCTGGATTAGCACTGACAGTGGCCTGGAGATTACGCACACCTGGCAGAAGCTATGGGAATTCCAACCCAGAGACTTTAAAAAACGCTGACACCTTTCATTTAATTAGGCTGTATTTCAGGTTTAGCAGATGACTCTAGACATCATTTCCTTAAAACATGTGGCACACTTTTTATCTCTTGACTTTGATGGAGCGAATGGGACTGATGTATGATTTTACTTTAAATATGACTGCAATAGAAGTGCAAAGACACACACATATGTGATAATATGACATTCTTTAAAAGAAGTGAGTATTAACTGCTGTAGTATTTCTGGAAGTTTGAAAGGACCAGAGGGGATATGATCTGTAAAGGAGCCTCATTATCAAGAGGCTAAGATAAGAATAGTCACAGTGGTCCAGTAAAGCTGACAAGATGGCATTAATTGGTAGATTGGGAAACATTTCTGTGAATGAGCTACAAATTCAACGGGTCATGTGATTCTCTGAGGGCACAAAAAACAGCTCCTTAATCCCAAATGGTCAGCACTATAAAGCTATCTGCCTTAAGTATTGCTAGTCTACTTTTACATTTGTTCCTGAAAGGCTTCAAACAAGACCTAATATGTCAAACTTGTCTAAAACTTCACAAGTATGTGTTAATTGATTCAACTGATGAAAGGAAGATCTAAATTACATCAGAAGAAGTTTGAACATCTGAAGCTTTTATTCAAACTCGATATGATCTATGTTTATTTCCTTCAGTTGATACTGTGGTTCCTAGTACACTTTTGCCTATTCAAATCACAGAATAATCACACACGTTTTCAACCAAAACAAGCCCTATATTTTATGTTCATTAAAAATGACTAAACAAATCAGAAGAACTAGGAATTCTTGCAGCATAAGAGTCGATGATGATTTGTTTTCTCATATTGAGGATAGAAATATTACTTCGCATTCCATTTTTTTCGCTTGTTAATGCATTCCTTTACTTTAGTGATGACATTCATCCTGTAATCAGAATGTTTCCCTCACAAAATATACAGTCAATTCATTTTACAGTATATTCTGTGAAGCGCTTCGAAACATCTCAATGACGTGATAAGGCGCAGTATCAAATGCAAGGATTACTATTATTATAATCAATTTGCTGTGCTTGCATTGAAGAGTATGTTAATAAGACACTTAAAAAAACACTATTCAAAGTGCCTGCCACTCTGTGTCTCAGTGCATGTTACTTTGCCTGACATTTCAAAAAGAGTTTTGTTACACTGTGCTTGTAGCATTACATCAAATTTCTATTTTAGTTCTGTCTACTGTATCCAATTCTAAAAGATAGTAAGGCTGTCTCTTACCCAGGCTTGTAACCAAGCACGTTCGGAGACACCAGTCCTGTGGGAATACAATTTTATTTTCCTTTTAATATTTTAGCATATTTTAAACGGCAACCAATTCGCCAGTATTTAATGAAACTATAACTTCTTCAAAAAGAGAAAAGGAAAGTCTTTATTTCTAGGCAAAAACTGCTTCATTTATTACATTTGGGTGAGGTACTGTTCACATAGATAAAAAAAAATCCAGGGTGATGGTCTAGTGAGAAAGCATGTATGGCAGATATTCATAACAATAGGCAACACTGCAATGGGATGATAAAATATGTGACAATAATGGAAGTCGTTTTATATTTCTCCATTGCTTCATGGTTGTCAGGCTGGTTAACCGTGCATTACTCTGACCAAAGCCTCTTAGCTATACTCTTGCTTGTCTAGTGAATTCACGTTTGTAACCTCCAATACTGGACATTGTAGGACATGCTTGTCCACCTTAATTAACTTTGGTTGTCCTTGTTATGAAGGAGCTAACTTAACCAAGGAAGATTTCAAGTAAAATGCTTCACAAGTCAGTCTGTCATCTGTGCTTTGCTGTTTTTCTTTTCTAGACACAAACGATGACCGAGAGTGGAAAAGAAGGTTTGTCTCAAGAACCTCTGACTCCGCAGAACAGTGGCAGTCAAGCGTGGGCAGCAAGTACACCGGCCTCTCAGAATTCATTACTACCTGGTGGGATTCCTTCTGGTGCTTCTGCTGCAGCTTCTTTTTTCATCAGGTATTGATTGTATTGTTTTATTCAAATGTATAAGGAAAGTGGGAGAGCTGGTGATACCTGCTCGATCACTCAAACATTAATTCCCAAGAAGAAAATAATTATCTTGGGATGAAAGTGATCATGATCTGCGATACAATTGGATCAATTCCAGGAGTCGAGATCTTAAGAGTATGATTGTCAGGGTCATTAGGCTGTTCTGCAATTGTGTTTTATGGTTATTTTTCTCTTATTTCTTTATGGCCGCAATCGGGAGAGAAGGAAAGTTGTATGGTACCCACTTTATGGTCACGTTGCTCTTGGATCAGCTGCTAAGATATCTGCCATTTTATTCCCTTCACCTCCCTCAGGCATCTCTGTAGAGGGCCTGGTGAAATGTGCAGCTCACCAAATACAGAATCATAAGGAGAGCCCATATCCTAAGGCTCCACGGCAAGACTTTCATGTGCTCTGAAGTCCTGCATCCATTGCAAAACAAGTCATGGAAAAGCTTACCCATTTCAGTCATGCTGGAGACCCTCAGCTATTACTGATGAACAGTTCAAATGGTACTGTTGGAGAACAGAGGGTGGGCAAGAGTAGGGTAAGCTGTATTGTGGACTTCTGGAAGCTTTAAGCTTCTTCCTTTGCCCTCGTGTTGCAACAAAACTCAAACCATGTTAAGAAAATGCTGGAAGTGCACAGCAGGTTAATCAGAATCTGAACGATAAAATTAGGTTAACATTTTGAGTTGATTCTTCATCAAGAGAAAGGACATGCCAGATACATTAACCTCTCGTTTAACCTCTCCTTTAAATGCTGATTGACATGCAGGGCCATTCTGTGTTTTTTTTTTGCAGATTTACAGAATTTTCCATTTTTGCTTCAGCCAAACATGTATTGAGTTTGGGCCCAGTCAACAATACGTAATGGGGGTAAATGCACAAAGAATGTAATTGACAAATATTTGTGATCTATTGAATAAGTAATCTGTCCACTGAACTGAAATAAAATGTTACATTGACTATAGGCTATTGTTACAAGTCAACATGGAAAGTGTTCCTCTTTGCCAAATGGGTCAGGCAAAACAATGTGCATATCTGAGCCAACGTCTAACGACGGAGATATGGATTCCAAGTTGAGTAAAAGCTTGTGCTGCAGTGATTACACTTGCAATTTGTACACTTTTACATTTGCTTAGAGAACATATTCTTCCTTGTAATGTTTTGCTCTGGTCTGTATATCCCAGTTGGTGCGTCATCAGCCATTAGAGCAGCTATTAGTGCATATTATGTACTGCTTGCTCTTAAATCACTATATTATTTCAAACAAGTCATAGAGCTCAGTCAGTGGCATTTTCAGCACTGTTGAATCTAGGCCTTCTCATGATCAAAATCATATCCAGAGGAATTTTTCTCCAGGCCCGATTTTAATACAATTCATCTATAAGGCTTAAAAATCACCAAGGAAAACCGCCCTTCTTAGATACAAATGGAAACATGGTCAAGAATCTCGGCTTTTTGAAGCAGGTAGCACATTGAGACCAGACATCAGGACACAGCAGTGAGGCGATACGCTATTACATTGGCTTCCATATCGTAACCTTATCATGCGCTGATTGCTAAAAATAGCGATTGTAACATTATTTGTTATTATACATTAGAATATCCCATTTTAACAAGTAATGAAAAGATTGCTATTCTAGAGACTGGGGCATAAAATCCTATTGTGTCGCCTGTTGTAGCACAGCAAATAAAGTAGGGCTCTGACATAAAGCAAAGTGGAATCCTGTGGAGAAATATCACTTTGCTTTTGGTTGACAGTGCCAGCGGAGATTGCTATTAACACTGTAAGGTCACAAGGCCACAGGAGTCTGTCAACTCAGATATTATATATATTTTGTTGGAATACAAATCAAAACTTCTTTTAAAAATGTATCCTTGTTGAGAACCCTTACTAGCATGTGAATTGAACATGACGCAGTTATACCAGACACCATTCACTGAGAAACAAAGTAAGAAATGTGTTCCCAGGAAAGTCTTATGTGCAGGATTAATGGGATATGAAAAATATTGTATGTAGATTTTAACTGCTATATTTTTCCTGAGGTGTCTCATTTCAAGTGAAGCATATAACGTTCAGAGATTAAGCAGTCTTTCCGCTGGCCTATCATGACCCACTTTTTCTTAAATCTGTGCTTAATGTTGCCATCGAGCCTGAATTCTATGCATATTTTATGCATCTTTGCAGCTTCACCATTGAGTATATTACCTTCCTTTTTTTCATCCCTTCCTCTTCATCCTGGGCCCATCCCGTCTGAGCCCCCAGAGACTGATGGGCAGCCGAGTGCAATGGAATGGCAGTTTCCAACGACCTCCCATTGGATTTTCCCCATCCATCACCTGTTGAACAGCTCCCCACAGAAGTGCAAGTGAGATTGGATACTCAGAGGTGTGCGGGAATTGTACCGTAAAACTCAAAATGCTGAAAAGAATTTTCAAAAACATTCCATGTTCCTTTTTTAAAGCACTTGAGCCCAGATGCCAGACAACATGCATTTTGTTAGTTGAGTTGAATTCACTAAAATGAGCCGCACATCAGCCATGCTGCAATTTTCAGTTACTTGATGAAACATTCACCAGAGAGAGGAAGATTCCCTTTAGGGTACAAAGCAATATAGATGTTGCTGCCATGAGCTGCCGAACATAAGGGATGAACAAAAGAATATGAGAGGGAAGCGTTGTTTAAATGAGGGCGAGTGCAAATCGTGAATAGTTTCCAAAGAGCATTAAATGTTCTTTTAGTCAAATGCTCTGTGCTAGCTTATCATTATCGTCCAGTGCAATCGTGTGTTTTCTTTAAATATAAAGTATCTTCTTTTAGTTCAGTTAATGTGTAGAGATGAATTGCTTGTTGATGAGCCTATTGCTTCTCTAGACAGTAGCAGCGACAGGGAATGTGGCCGACACAATCCTAAACCATATGGCAGCACTGACACCTGATGGGCTAGTGATAAGCATTTGGTCATTAGGATCGACCATGAAATGCCTTCTATATAATTGAGGTTACTCAAAAGAACAGACACCTTATCAGCGTTAGCTCTGGAGGCACAGCTTGCTGATGCTCAGTGCACTGATTGTTCTGTGACTGAGCATATGATTAGTGTATTGAGGCAGTATGTTCCTAATGAAATGGCAGAAAAATGCATATCAGTAGCAGTAGTGCTGCAAAATGACTAATGTTGTGATCTTCAGTGCATTTCACTGTTCAATTAGTAACTATAAACTGTGCTAAAGGCATCAATTTGTTTTAATTCTAATGATTGGGTGTGCCCTAGTTGGAGATTGCTAGACAAGCAAAACAATTTACTCTTTTCATAACTACCTAACGTTTTGCTCCATTTTTGTATTGAGATTGGGATCAGGTGATCTTGGCATAATCTTGATTTATTATTTGAAAGATTTCTGTCTTATATATATATAGTATGCATTTGTTTTTGCTCCCTTTTCGCCTGCTGAAGCCGGTGTTTCACAAATGCCAGCATCCCCCATGGCAAGTTGTCATTTTGCTTGCTATCATGTGTTGTCATGTGTTGCTCGCTATCTAAGACATCACAGCCGAGCCCAATCCTGTTATTTCTTCACATTCACTGATGCACGTTTGGGCAAGGGTCACTGGATAGCAATCAGGAGAGGGAGGGACCTTTTGCTGATTTTTTTTCACCTCTCCTTAGCCCAGAGTCCAAGTCCATTTGTAGCACCTTACCTGCTTGCCCCAGCTGAGACGCAAAGATCAACAAATGCAGCACATCTTACGAATCCAATCTTTGACCTCCCGATCTGTGTGGTGTAGTGCTACGCTTCATCCAATACTGTTCAATAGGCCATTGGAGTGGTCCAGTTTGTTGTTGCTTAACTGGTTGCAGATTGTAAATTCAGAGTTCTTCCTCTCTTCATCCCCCGTGCTCTTGTGTGAGTATCTACAATGGCATAAATAATGTTTGCTTGATTACAGTATGCATTATACATTATTATATTGCCCACAAAATATAAAGTCAATTCACTTTCTGTGAAACGCTTTGAGATGTCTCAAAGACGTGATAAGGCACTATATCAAAAAAATGCAAGGATTATTATTATTAGATGCTTCATTGATGCTTCAGCTAAGCACAATCAGTTTCACTATAATTTAGTGCCAGAGAATGTAGAGAAAGGCCTGCCCAATTTTGGGGGCTATTCACTGTTTGACATTCTGATAGGACCTTTACGAGCATTTGTAAACTGGATAGTGTGGGGGAAATTTGTTTAATCAGCTCCCATTGCTGATTGCTGGATGTAACCCTAGATTTAAATGTTGAAGTTACCAAAAAAATGCTTCAAATACACTCGGCTTGTTTGGCATCTGAAGGCAAAAGCTACGATTATGTTTCACATTTGACCTTTCATGAGAAGCTGTGGGGTTGATGCCCCAATCTTAATAACATTGAAGAGTAGGAGGCCTTGTACATATGTTGTCGTATTAGATTAAGATCTTTTTGTCAACTGGAGTAAACTATTGGCTATTGAGGACTAACCATTCATCTATCTCGAAGAACGTATTTGTACATGCTACTTAGTTTTACGTAGCACTTTTATGCTCAAAGTTCCCCAAAAGCTATTTATCGTGAGCACTATTGAATATCTGAGGAGCAAATTTGCGTCTGTGTGTGTCTTAAGCTTCAACCTGCTGAGATATGACCTTGGAAAGTAACCATAGAAACACATGTATCAGAAAAAGGATGACCTGAGAACAATATTTCCCAGTGCTCCAGCGGCAATGTATAGAAAGTAAGCTTTGCACTTGACAGTAAATAACATTAAGAATGGTTGTGGCTTGTTTGCAAATGCAATGTCTCTTTTAGACGGGTATAAGGGGTGATTGGAAGCAAGAAACAGAACTTGCAAAACTAATGTTGCCTATCAGTCCATTTTCTATCTAAAAATTTGTGTTTAACATTACTGCAGGGAAATACACTAAACAAGATG